CGTAACGCGCCAAGTCTCTCAACCATACAGAAGCACTGACTTGACGTTGGTGTTGAAAATCCGGATCTTGTTCCACATGCTGAGAGGAGTGCAGAAGATCTCCACACTGGTTTCAGGCTAATGAACGCCTGTCTTGCTTTTCCGATTCTGACTTCGACATCCTCGTCTGTGCCGCCTGTAGTTGAAACAGTGCTTCCTAGATAGGTGAAGGAGGTAACTTCCTTTAAGTTTCTCCCGTTCATGGTGATTGGAGTTTGTTGTTGGAGTTGTTGGTGCGGTATCTTCCTCACGTCTGTCTTCTCTACCTTCACCTGAAATCCCGTCTTCGCTGTCTCTTCTGTCAACTTGTTAGTTTTCGCCTGTAGATCTTCAAGTTTGTGTGACATCGGGCACAAGTCATCGGCGAAATCCAAGTCTTCTAGGTTCTTTTCCGCAGTCCAGCGTATCCCTCTCTTCTCGCTCCCCACTGTTTGCTGCATGATCCAGTCCAGTCGACCACAATCAGGAATATCATGGGGGATAGTAGGCAACCTTGTTTCACCCCTGTCTTCACTTCAAAAGCATCACTGAGCTTCCCATTGTGAATTACTTGGCATGTGGCGTCTTCATATAGTTGTTGAATGAGGCTGATAAAGTTTTGCGGTATTCCGTAGTAATGAAGCAGTTTCCAAATTACCTCTCGGTTGACGCTGTCAAAGGCCTTCTCAAAGTCGATAAAGTTGAGGTAGAGAGTTGACTGCCATTCTATACTCTGTTCTATGATGATGCGAAGCGTTACAATTTGGTCCGCACATGATTTGTACTTCCTGAAGCCTGCCTGTTCTGGTCGTAGTTTTGAATCCAGTACATCCTTAAGCCTCTCCAGGATGATGCGGCTTAATATTTTGCTTGGTGTGGGTGGACAGGAGAGTGATTCCACGCCAGTTCTTCCAAACACCAAGGTCTCCCTTCTTCGGCAGTTTGACAAGGTAACCCTTCTTCCACTCGGCAGGCAGGTACTTTTCCTTCCTTCCAAACCTTCTGCAATAGTGGTGTGAGCATGTCCGCTGTTGTCTCTGCGTCTGTTCTCAGTGCCTCTGGTGGGATCCCATCTGGTCCTGCTGCTTTCCCACATTTCAGTAGCTTTATGGCGTTCAGGACTTCCATTTTAGTTGGAGGATTTATGTTCACTTGTGGTTCAGCGGCTGTAGGTGGTATTTATGGATGAAGTGCAGGTGGTGGTGGTAGTCGATTCAAGAGCTTCTTGAAGTGGTCGGCCCATTGTTTCCTTTGTTTCCCTTCTTTCGTAATAAGATTTCCTTCCTCATCTCTAATCGGTTTCATCTGCGTTGGTCTCTGCCCTCCTATATAATAACCTGGTTATTTGGCACAATGTCGTCAGGTCTCTCTTACCTGCAGCATGTTCTGCTTCACTTGCCAGTGTTTCGTACAAGTGTCTTTTGTCTTTGCGCGCACTCTTCTTCACTTCTTTGTCCAGTGTTTTATACATTGTGCTCAGTTCCTCTTGTCGCTGAGCATCCTTGCACTGGTTTATCTTCTGCTTCACTATCCTCCTTTCCTCTATCAGCTTCCATGTATCCATCGAGATCCATTCCCCATCTTCTTTCTTCTTCCTTCCTAATACGGCTGTGCAGGTTTCTTTCCATATCTCTTTCAAAGACTTCCAGTGTTCTTTCGCACAGGTTTCTTCACGGATGTTTCTCGATTTCTCCCATTTTGTCTTGATGGCTGATGTGAAGATGTCGTTTGTAGCTTTGTCCTTCAGTTTCTGGGTGGTGAACTTGAACTGTGGTCTATCACCAGCTTCCCTGAAGGCTTTAAACTTGATTTGGAAGGTTCCTTGCACTAGATAGTGAGTGGTGTGAACCTACATCTGCTCCTCTTCTTGACCTTGTGTCAAGTAGACCTTAATTTTGTTTGTAAATTCGATTTTTGAGGGAATCTAGCAGGTAAAAGTGACTACAATACAATGTGGACTGTTTTGCATGAGATAAACCTCCTTTGGTATCGACGGGTTTAATTTAGATGACGTATCTATAAGCTAACTACGCTCATCTATGCCTTTGAATATTCATTTGAAGACAGATAAATAGTCAAAAGGGGTTATAAACCCACTCAAAGATGGTGAGTCGACATGATCAATTGAGGAGGAATCAAGATTGTGGGTTCTAGGGAAACAAATTTGTAGGAACCAACACACAAACAGCAGATAGTCGCTCGGTTTTTGCTACTCTAAAATGCCACCTGGACCGCCAATATAGCCTGCAGCCTACAGACAGATAACACTATTCCAACGGGCTAACAGTGTTTGTAATACGGCAGTTGTTGGGTTGATCGCGCAACCAAAACTATACGCTGGTTACATCAAAAATCAAGTTGTTAAGTTGCCAGTCGATGAATGAGGCCGTTGTTTTACAAACTGCTGTAATTCCGGATGAGTGATCCGATCTCAATCTACCCCATAACTCAGTCATCTATAGCAGCTTTTGATTGAAGAGATTTAATTCAACTACAGAGAGTATGGGATACAGAATCGATGAACATAATAGACAAACAAATAAATATGACCAGTAAGAAATCAAGGACATTTACACCAACAGAAGCAAACAGGGAGCATAGAGGCGTAGAATATTGCCAGAGAGAGTGAGAAGAATTCAAGTTTTATCATATAATTTTGAAGAAAGTGAACAACAAGGGTTTATGTGGATTAGATGCTATCAACAACCACTGCTTGGTAGTTATTCTAAGGTTTTAAGGCATCAGGCATAATATGTTTGCAGATTTGAAGTTGTACAATTGAAGTTTGGAAAAATCCCATAATCTAAAATGAATTTCAAACATTATACGATTTTCCAGATAGTTACTGAACCAATGTAGCGGTTGACTGTGGACATGCGTGGGTCAGAAAATTGAACAGTTATTTGCTGGCCTTGTAGGTTGTGCCTGTTTCACACTCTCTGTGATTGATTATGCTCTTGTCTTTGGAAATCTCGACATCTAACTTTATTCAACTAGAGTTGAGTGTTAAACTCGTAGTTTAACAGCGCCTTTATAACTACCTTGTTCCAGCGCTCTCATGTACATACTCTGTTGTAGACACTGAGATTTGAACAGTTGAGTAGTACTGTTATCATTTACACGATAGGTGTAACCCAAAGCCTGTTACAAGAACTCATACTTGATTGCAGAATTATCTAGGTATGATTTGAGTTTGTTATTCTGGTAGCCTATTTGTGAGCATATCTTCGAGATCCTTTCTACCAGCTTCCCTAGTTTTTATCTATTGGTTCGATATCTAAACATGGGCCTTAGAACTAACGCTATTACTGTTATTATTATTCGATGTAGTGTTAGGACTAATTTATGCAAGAAAAGTCAACGAATCATTAAAAGTTGTCAACTATTACTGAGTTTTGATACTATGTCCTGCTTTTCGTTTTTGCTATTGGTTTCCGAACATTATAGGTGCTGAAGCTCGTTAAGAATTTCGTGGTGCTCATGTACATGAAGATTTTTCCAGTCGAATAGATGAATTTGACTATTCTGAACCTCTCTCACTTAGATATATCTGAAACAAGTGGTTTGATGCCTCAAATTTACCATTTGTCCTGACATTAATTGAAGTTACTGTGAAAATGCTCTTTCTTTCAAGTGCCTTGATAATGTATCTGAGCATCTTTGGAGGGCATGTGTTTCGCACCTGTGAAATGTGAGATGGTACTTCAGGACTAGTCTTCATTGATTCACACCTTAACAATAATAAGAGGTGGTGGAAGGCATTGACCACTTCATCTCATGAAAATTGACGAGATGGTGAAATAGATAGGGGAAATGAGGACGGTAGATGTGACGAATAGCAGATGAAATCACAGATATACACTCATTTCACAGCGAGACTTTGAAAGTGACCAAGACCTGTTAGTGATCGGTATGAAACAGGTTTCCCTAGCTGAGAAGCATAATCGTCTTCAGGAATTTGGTGGCAGTGCAGTGAGACGGATTCTGCATGATCTAGTAATTCGGACTATGAATCCGTAAGTGTAATTTTATTTTGTCATTTTGTTAACTGTTTTTTTGTTTTTGTTGTTAGGTTGAATAAAGTATAAATATTCTTGATTCAAATTATTTTTTTATTTTGGTATTAAAGTCTTCCTGAATACTTATGAAGAGTTAATTGAAATAAATTTCATGATACGTTAACATTTTGCAGACGAAACGAAAAACAGATAACAATTGCATTTCCATAAGTGCAGAACGAAAAGTGGTGTTGGAAAATTTGGAATATGATAGAAGCTTCAAAACAATGATTCAAGTTCGAAAAGTTTGCGAAAGAAAGCACATTCGTAGTGAAATCACGACAGCCTTAATGGCCTCATTATTCTTTTTCTACAAAAATGTGAACCATTAAAGCACGTACAAATTCTGTGTATGCCCTCATTATGATTAAAAGATCTTCGATTCGTTCCTCTGCAAATAAAAAGCGAATGTTCAACAAGGGCGTGTAAGATAACGTCTACTGTTAAAGATGTTAAGTGTACAATGAACATGATTTGAAAACTACACATTAACTGATTTCCCTGCAAAGTCCTAAGTGCTCAGTACTGAACAACGATTACTGATCACATTGTCTTCTCTTTGTTAGACCACCTGATGCGGGTTTCCTTTGTCCCTGCATGACCAGCAGCTAGAGTATTAGGTACTTATTCCGACACTAAAAATCTTCCAGCACTTATCTTTGGGTAAAACTGGTTATGATGAACAATGGAACAACCTAAAGACAAGAAAATAAGGAACGCCATTTCCTAGGAAGTGTGTCAGTTCAGGTAGGGAAAAAAAAAATACAGAAACGGGTCCTGAGGATACAATAATGGCGTAACGATGCGAGTGGATTTGTGATGTGAACAATATGCTATGAGTTAACCTAAACCATTTTATTGATGAGCTTCAATTTACTCTTGCAAGACCAATTACTTCCAGCTTAGTCACTTCGTATTCTTCTTTTCCTATTGCTTTCTAACTGTTGTAAGTACGCAACAACGTTGGGTTTTTCATGCTTTTTCCATGTATGTAGTTCATTGGAATGTAGTAAACTGAACGATAGAATTCACTAGTGTTCATAATTCAAAGCTATATTCAGTCACTTAGTTCAACGGTTGGCAAATCAAAGTATTCCATGAGAAAGAAATACAAACCCACCATTACTAACGAAACAGTTCAGAGCGCTAGTGACATAAAGTGTATTCTGTAGATGCGGCGTCAAATAAAAGACAAACAGTACACGCATTATTATGGAATAAAAACTGCTTGAGCGGAAATACTGAAGCCATTGTAATAACACTAGTCTAACCTTTTAAAGTAAGAGGCAGTATGAAAGAAGTATACCGTGTAGGTAAATCATGACTACAGCAGTTGCAACTTTGAAACCTATGTGAATAACCAGTTACCAGTTGTCTAGCAATTTGATCACTAATTTATCTCGAAATTACCATCTGGATTCGGTATAATACCTACGTTAATCGACTGTCTGTCCTTGTATCTGAGTGTGTAAAATTATCATCACGAATTCAAGTAAGAAATAAGTTCATGGGATAAATGCTTACGACATTTTATGAAAAAGGTCAACAACTGATAGCTAATTATCCATTCAATAATGACAGTAATTACGTCGCACTTATTCAGGGATACCAAGAATTGTTAGGACACTTAATAGAAACAACGATTGTGACATCAGCTCTGTTTTCGTAAAAAGTTCACCAAGAGATTGTTTTCTGGATATGAGGTTGCGTGACTGCTCGAATTAAGACGAATGAGATCAAAACTTCAGAAGATAAAATTGTAAGGATTACAAATAATGTCGAGTAACTTTATTCACTTAAGTACGTCAACATCCTGTCTGATGCTTACTGCTCTTCATGCCGCCTTTGGTGAACAGCCTTACCAATAGATTTAAAATAAGAAGTTAGGGAGAACACGACAGCCTGAAGAAAACATATAGCTACATAATGAATCTGTAAGCAATATCGAGGGATCCACACATTAGTCCATGTTCCTACAGAGATAGATCAATTCGATCCAAGTACCAAATAACAACTGATACTTGTTGCACGAATAGGTAACTCTTGTGACTGAGTCACCTGGTGAATAATATTGTAACATTTGACATGGTGATTGGTGAGTTTGAGTCTCGACAAGAACACTGGGAGGCAGAAGTGCACTAATTAGTCAACACCAACATGAGACCTGGTATTACTGAATGACCGTCCAAGTTCACACACAGTATGACACCATATAAAGGTAGAAGACAACAAGATGAAAGATCAACAAGAAGAGTGGTCGAAATGGTTGAAAGTTGTAAAAAGCGAAGGATATAAAATAAATATGCACAAACACACGTAGTTGGTGTATCTATCCCAAATGAGACAAAATGGGCTTCTTGGATTCTGCTGCTAGCCACCATCAAGCGAATTGTAAATCACAGTAATATGACACAAGTGAACCTGGCTGATAATATTGTTGGCACTGATCACAGCGAACCTACAAGTTCATCACCACAGTGCTTGATTATCAGTTGGAGCTATAGCATTATCATGGTTACAGCGAAACAACTAGTTCATGTGCTCAATACATAGCCTTTGAACAAAAGATATAAATGAGCATCTGTTGTTCATGTCCATGGTGTATACAACTGATATACAACTCATAGGAGGGTGACTGTTTATTATGAACTACAAGAAGTTAGAAATTAGTATAAGATTCATAATCCCAGTGATGTAATAAAAAACAATTCAGCAGGATAGATTATAAACACGATTTACTAGCTCACCTGTCTCGTCTGCTTCATATAAGTCAACTAAAATATCCCAAAACGTTTGAGCTAGCCGTTCAATAAAGTATTCTCTATCCATTTCTCTCGTGGCTTGGAAGACCGCACAGACAATTTGGATAACTTGTCTTAATTCCGTACGTATTCTCACCTATCATTTTTTTTAAATCGTAAAAGCTTTTGAGAGAAAACATTTCACGTACAGTTCAAATATTTGGTCAATTTTGGAGTTTGTTCACTTTTATGGAGGAACTGAAATTTGAACCTAGCATATTAGGATGCATTACCATATCAATATACATCAATATCGTATTCACATGAGTTGATGGACAGTTCTCATTCATCTTCATTTTGGTATATTTGAGGCAATGAACATAACCGACTATTATTAAGGTAGCGTAGACACTATACAGAAACAAGACACGCAAATAGACCATCTCATCTACCAATCGTTTGCTAGTATTTCTTTCTGACTTTTTGCAGTGATATGGGAAAGACCGACCAGTCATTATTTCTCAAGTCATTTTAATCGAGGTACACTGTTTAGGCGAATTGAATCGGATAAACTTTTCTCCAACTTTGATTCATTGTGTCATATTTTAATGAGGTAGAAATCTCTGCATGCTGAGATTGCAGTTTGCATGTCCTGGTTGGTATGTGACGTCACTGACAGTTAGTTTATGCAGTGTAGTGAACTGAGACTGACTTTAGCTTTGGGAATTTTATTTTAGAAATTGTTGATTATCCTAGAAAGATAATTACTATAGCCCCAAACCATTCATACTATCATAAACAGACTTGTTCTTTATTTTCTCCTGAATTTATCTAGTGTATGCCTTTTAATTACCTATTCCCCTCTTTTCTTTAGTGTAGTTCATTCCTATAGTGTCTCTCGTCGATTCTTTCTAAACAGTTTGAGGGTGTAGGGATAAAAACTATTATGCCAGGTTGCATGTTTATTGGTATGTTCACAACAAAAGAAAATCCCTCGCAAAAACAGTGTAAGAATGCTATTTGACACAGAGCACTGGAAATACTTCATAAACTTCGGGGTAGAAATTTGACATGATAAAGCTGAATAAGTCGAGGACTGGGTAAAAGGGTTATTCAATGAAACATATTCGTAAAGTCCCCGGTGAGGCAGAAAAATTAATTTCCGATACTGTGTAACGTCGTACAAATCGCTGTTTCAGAGATTAATCCTGTACAAGTTATCAACTATTTAAACAGTCGACTTAAGTAAGCAAGAATTCATGCTATATTTGCTTTATCGTTTTGAAAAGTGATGTTTCAAAGTGTCAAAAATGTCACTACCAAGAAGAACAAGTTCAAAGTGCCGTTATCACTCCACACCCGGACGTGAGCTCTCTGTCACGTTGATTATTTGCATAATGTTGACTATTTGTAGTTTCACAACGCTCACCAACTGAACTCGATGGCAGGACACGATCACGAAGAATAGACTTTTTAGCTGGAATAGGTTGTCGTGGTATGCAAACCTCAGGACACCACATCAAGTTACTACTTGACTAGCTGGCTTTAGGTCAGAACATCTTCACATAACTTCTAATAGTTGTCTCTGTTGCACACGGGAGATAGTGGGAACTCCCAATGCTGCCCGCTTGCATGAGTTTCCCCGACCTCTAAAAACGTTTTAGCTTAATGTGGTATTAAAAGGGGTTGATGATATACTTACCTGAAGTATGCATAGTGAAATAATAATGAGAGCAACCTCAGAAATTTTCCCACAACTGGCTTTATCTGTTAAAGACAGGCATTCTATTTCTGGTCCTGTAAAATGAAAACCAGAATTCAATGAAGTGGAGACACAGACTTCATTTCTGAGTGTACGGAGTCATATCAGCGTAAATGAATGGAAACAAGGTAATTTTAAAATACATATAATTCGTTCACCTCATGAGTTGGTACACAAAAAGAAAGAAATTTAGGGCAGAATGAAATGTTATTTTGAGAATTCTCGTCCACGATAGTTGGAGGAAATATAAGAATGTTATGGAATTTTTCAAAGCTTGGTATTCAGGCCGACCAAAGACCGACTAACATTGACTCAGTTTACCAATCGATAAGAAACACGAGAAACAAAAAGAGGTCAGGGTTCGAGGCAGTTAATCGCAATGCACATGGAGACAAAGACGAAATTATGACAGAAACAACCAAACGCACCGGTCATCAAAGCAAGCTACTAAGCCAACTGTAGAAATTCGCGTAGCTCACTTAAATCTGAAGTGTATTCCAATGTTGTTTGGAGTGACAATGAAAGCCTCATAACTAAGCCTTCCAGCTCAGGGAACACAAAACCAACAAAATATAACTCGAAATCTCAGTCAGAGGCTTGTTACACCCACTTATTGTGCATCTTTAGAAATTCTCTCAAGGCTGTAGATGCATATTGTTATCGAGGGGATGAGGTTGAACTCTTCTCACGATTCTATGCAAAAGAGACAAATCCTCTGAAGGAAGAGTTTACCGCAAAGCAATTCCCTCTTAAAAACAAATTAAATTAGTCGAAACAGAAAAATCACTTCGAATAAAATGTTCTCGGAGTTAAAGCATACTTTGATTTAATACTATTCGACATCGAAGTGGTGTTTGTACTTGGAAGAAGTATACCCATCCATAGGATAGATGGGAAGAATAACTAAAATATCGACTTAAGTTACCAGAGCGAGTTTCAGCTTTGAAGTGTCAAGTGAAAAACTTGATCTGTGTTCATTGGCTACAACAGCTGAAACACTAAATAACACTCCTTTCCAAGCTGAGCCATAGATATATATGATTTGATAATGGGGAACAAATTAGTGACAGTTGTTCAGGTAACATGGCGACAGTTTGCTTTTGATGATGTTCTGTTCTCCCAGCTGGATGGTTTAATGGTGATGTTTTTATTGTCACTCTAGGCAACATCACCAGCACAAACTTGAAAAAGAAGTTATCTACAGGATCTATGTCCTCAAGCTTGTCCTGATGACAGTTAGATGCATAGTCCAGTATACAGCAATCAGAAGAAATAACTGGCTTGTTTACAAGTAACTTGTTGTTTCACTTTCGTGTGACAAAGCTCATGTGTTTTGTTTTCGGTCTTCAACACAAAATCATATTATGTAACGTGGTTTGGCTATCTTCAGCATTCTTCCAACCCAATATAACCTGGGCTAATATTACATATCGACTTAGGTGATGCTCCAGTATGACCAACATATGTTAACGCCACTTCAGTTCATGAAGGTTCACAGCCTCATCTACTGTTTAAAACAAATATAAGTGATCAATAATATTTATAGTTTATTCAAATTAGCAACAAATATATTCGCCTACGGATTCATAGTCCGAATTACTAGATCATGCAGAATCCGTCTCACTGCACTGCCACCAAATTCCTGAAGACGATTATGCTTCTCAGCTAGGGAAACCTGTTTCATACCGATCACTAACAGGTCTTGGTCACTTTCAAAGTCTCGCTGTGAAATGAGTGTATATCTGTGATTTCATCTGCTATTCGTCACATCTACCGTCCTCATTTCCCCTATCTATTTCACCATCTCGTCAATTTTCATGAGATGAAGTGGTCAATGCCTTCCACCACCTCTTATTATTGTTAAGGTGTGAATCAATGAAGACTAGTCCTGAAGTACCATCTCACATTTCACAGGTGCGAAACACATGCCCGCCAACGATGCTCAGGTTTCTGATAATAGTATTCAGAAGACCTAGCATTTTCTCAGCACCTTTTCCTAACAGGTAAATGTCTACTTCAAGTCAACCACATGCTCTCCAGTGAGGTAGTAAGTAGCTCAACCCCAGTAAAATTGGTGGTGTCGAATTTGTTGACCACTGAAGACATATCCATATTGACGTTAGATAGAAGTAGTGATAACGCACACCACTGGTTTTTGTCAGTTCAGATGATAAAGTGTCAAGTAGATAACGTTGATTAGTGTTACACGCTTACTCAGTACGCCCTTCACATGAAGACACTTCCAAAACACCTTGGTCGACAGAGTTGACTGTCGCCTTCAAGTCAAGAAGTATGCTAAGTATCGGTGGCCGGTGAGTACGCCTGTGTTCTATAACCTGTCAAATGGTGAAGATCTGATCGATGAAACCTTGTCCAGATCTGAAACCTGTCTGGTTTTCCCGACTTTACTGTAATCCAACCGCTCCTAGGCATCGGATAAATGTGGAGCCCAGGATCTTGAATGCAGTGTTGGTTAAGCTGGGGTCACAATAAGACCTCTACTTTCTCATAAACCGCAATGATCAATGGAGCAGACCGGTTCGGTGGGACTACGTTTGATTCCTATACGTCACCCAGTACCACCGTTACTCTATTCAGCAGGTCACTACCTTCTTGCTTAAAATTGTCTGGTGGCAAATCATCAGGTCCTACTGCTTTCCATGGTCTTCAGTGTGAAGTAGAAGAAAGATGTCACAAGGAAAACCTTAAGCGGATGAAGTAGGTGGGAGGATGGGCAGGGTCAGTTTGAAGGTGGCGAGCAAGTTAAAGGGTGACAGATGAAGCTATACTGGCAGTTTGAATGAAATTTCTTGAGGCATCTGTAATCTGTTTAGCGGTGGTCTTAAGCACTGTTTCTATATTCTTGACAGAAATGTTTCCCGGAAGAATGTTTGATCGAAACTTCAAGGCTTCGCATTAGCCTCGCATGGTCGATAGTTGCCTGTGTCCAGAGAACCTTGTAGGAGGGGGATAACGTATTCTGAATATTTCTGTCACCAAAATAATGCTAGGCTTGAAATAAATAAACATTTAAAATATCTAAAGGATTGTCGAATAATTTTTATGACGATTGATCTCAATTCGCTAAGTTTGTTTTGGTTTATTACCACCCCTCCCCCCCCTTGAATTCGCCACTTCTTTGTCTTTTTTGTTCTGGTTAGCATCAGCTAGCTTAGAGTCTCTAGCTTTTCCATCAAAAGACAGATAAGTTAACATCCTTCGCCTAATAGAACCTCGCTGTCTCTGAATAATAAATAAACTTTTTGTCCGAGTTCTTCTTACCTTATAACTTGTTTTCTTATTTGTCATTTGTTGTTAGTACTTACACGTATGTAAGGTACTGATTAGTTGGGCACTAGCCCCAATTAATTTATGTAATGCTGGTCAAGTGTTAGGTGATGGTTACACAACAAGACCTACCTTACAACGCCATCACTACTGTCGGCTTTTTCGGTGTAGGATTCCGTAAAGTCTCTTAAGATGTCTTTCTGGTGGCTTCAGCATTGTTGCTTGAGCGTTTCAGTCACCCACCATTATAACTAGGTGAATGTGAGCTTTTGTATCAAAATTGACAGCTTTGACAAATCTTATCTTTTGCATCTTCCAAAATGCAGTCGGTACTTACGTACATGTAGACTATGAATAAACATCATCTAGACTCACGACTCTCCTTAGATCTTGTAGACCCCTTAGGTCGAACAGCATATGAACAGATGTTGATTGATGTGCAGTCGAGAAGTGCATTTTCTGCATCACAAATCAATGCTATGTCTACAGCAGCGATTCCAAGAGAGCTTACCGCTAAGTCTGCCGTCGCTCGTAAGGCGACACCTGTCTCACAGTGAGAGACACAAATACAATATCTCTCGATTAGTAGAGTCTAATCTTGCCTTCAGGCTGAGAAATACACTCAGTGTCCAACGTTGATTGGGGTATGTCTTGCAGAACCTGATGGAGTGTGAACTTCTAGTCCGTGCAACCAATATCAGATCTGGAACCTTCCTGATTCTTTTGGGTTTACTAATCGCAAGCTTCACTTAGACGGCTAACAATAATCGAACCTACAAACTCAGATATTATATTCTTCAGACCGGTTACCCTGTGTTTATTACAAGATGACTTTTCCATCTTCTTGAAGACAACCAGTGATTTAGACCAATCAAAGGGGATCGTATCCGACTTCCATATAGTAGTTAACACTTCAGTTAACGTGACTAAAATCCTCTACCATTGCCCTTAAATACCTGTGATACTAGTCAGCCTGATCCTGCTTCTCTTCCTCACTGCAAGTTGCCTACAGCTTTCTCAGCTTCCGTATGTGTTGCACACGCTTTCTCAGTCTTTTATTTGGAATCCGACTGGGAACCGGGCAATGGAATGGTAGCTGGAGGCCAGTTGAACTGTTCCTCGAAGTGTTCAGTCGTCTCTCCTGCGAGCAAATCGCGAAGCCATCCTTCTCTACTATCGTCTCACCAAACATTGACTTTTTGCACCAGTTTACTTGATAAGTCCAAGAGCCTGTCCAAAGTCTCCAGCTATGTGACGTGTAATCATACTACCGGTCTGGGCAGGCTTCGACAGATGGGTTGGAATTTGAACTCGTGATCCATCGGTTGGAGATCAAGTGCCCAAAACAATGAGCCACTGTAAACATTTGTAAGAATTTGATTCATCATAAATATCCATTCCATATTTATTACGAATGTCCTGCGACAATTTAAGTGCCGATTTCGATTTATTTGTTGTAGAAGTAAGTTTTGTTATGATCCCAACGTGTTAAGGAAATTAAAACAAGATTTTTCTGAATGTTTCACTGTGTATGTCGTAGCTCCTTCAGTAGATATCCTGTTGCAGTCTTGTTTTGATTTTCTAATCACATTGGGATTACATTAAAACTTACTTATAAAATGATTTGCATTACCGGTGTCTTTCCGTTCACGTAATATTTGCCTTGAGGATCAAATAAACCTTTGTATTACATTCCTTCCCCACCTATTATCGATTGTATTAGTCCAACGTATTACAGAAACAACGAAGTTATGTTACTTTCAGATAGACAGTTAGTCCATAGTATGCATCTACAAGTTGTTGAAAGCTTCAAGTATGTGTCTCAATAACCAATGGCTATCATGTCAGAAAATATGTTTAGTAACCCTAAAATAAAAACTGCATACACTAGCATCGTTGTAGCTACCTTTCAGGATTGTCATCCAGGCTCCTTAATCATGAGCACCCAACAACTCGAGGATCAGCTATCAGGAATTGTCGAATTGAATGACAGCAGCTAAAATCCAAATGAACCGGATCCGATCAACTGACTACAAGATATTGGATACTAAAACAGAGTTTTAATACTGACTCATGGTTGTAGGCTGGTTAGGATCCAACACCAAGTTGGATTACATTTGATATTGAATGCTTGCCGGTACTTCGCAGAAAGCTTCACAGCCAGAGTGTAATTAGTTTGCTTTAATACAAACTCGTTAAAACAAGTAAAAGCAATACAAAAGCAGTACAAAAATATAAACAAAACGAGGCATAAAAACAATCAGAATGCTCTAGAAGGAAGCAATAGTGGAATATGATAGCTTACAAATCATGGGTTATTCCTGCATCACTCTTCAAAAGTAAAGGGCACAAGTATGCCTAAATGCAGTCACCACTGGTTTTCAATGAAGCATTTCTGATCATTTTTGCGATAAATGGAGTTGTGAAGTGCATGCAATAAAACATACTGCAAGTATGTTCAAGTTTATTTACCTCAGTTTACATATCTGATAACCTCGATTTACGTGACCTCTGAGACCATATCAATTGGGTTATAATGCACCAGCATATGATAACCGAAAGTAACTATTTTTATCCCAACAACTTCACATTCCAGACTCTGCCTATTCATTGCATCAAACAACTCCTAATGTCAGTAGTGATCACTCCAGTAGTCACTGAAATGGTGTGCATAAAAGTATTCATGTGAATAAACTTATATCACATATTTCATAATTCCAATTTGAGAAAAAAATGGACTCTACAAAAAGATTAATAGGTTATCTGTAGTTAGGTTTGAAATCAGTATTAATATTTAAGAAAACTACTGTGTATACCTGATGTATGTAATAAACATGCTACATTCTCTACCAACCAGTCATCAGGGGTTGTAATTAGATGGTCAAGAATTTCGATTACATCGTCAGATGTCCATAAATTGCAGTATAACATGTGTGTTAGTACACTTCCAAGATCACCAAAACAATCAAGTAATTGTTCAGAATCTCCGGCTGTATTTTCGAGCATTGTTCGCCATAAAAGGCCGTCTGGCAGTTGGTGAAGATGATTATTGACAGTTAAAAAAAGAAACAAAATTGTTTTAAATTATTATGATTACTATGTGAACTTCAGGATCAAAATTTGACCTGATAGAGTTGATAACTTGTACAGGTTTTATTCCCTGAAGAAGCGATTTCCACAAAGTCACGAAACGTCAGAAATTAATTTTTCTACTTCATTGGGATTTTACAAAATATATTTCATTTATATTACTGTTATTATTATTATCATTATTATTGTTGTTACTATTGTACCAATCTCAATGCAGATTCTTTTTCTGAACTATTTCATTTCCATTGTTCAGTGCAGAATTGTCTTTCACTCTATGAGTAGTGTATCTATGATGAGTGCTGACAAAATCACAAGAAAAACCATTTCTCACACGTGAGTCTTATTGCATAAATATATTACACTTTCATCATGATACAAGGTAACATTTATATCTTTGTCTGTTAACTGCTTTTCGCTGAGAACAGATTTTCTGCAACAACTTAAATTTATCGTGGATGTCCGTAGATAAAATGCTTCGATGCCTGATGGCACTTAATCGCTAGACACATACACACACGCAGAGTTCTTATCTTATTACAACAAACTGCTAGCAGTTATTACAGAACTTTGTCACATTTTATTTGTCACTGTGTGCATACCGTGTAATGGATACAAATACTACCGAAATGCGGTGAAGTGAAAACCTCTAATCATCTATGCGTATCAATAATACCTATCTTTCAAACCACATCTATCTTAAATAGTCCTGTCGACAGGCATTTTTGTTGAACTTGAACATACTATATGATTCTCGCACATCCACTGACTAACCGTTTCTCACATCAGTTAATAAACAAAACAACGTAACCACTGCCCAGTGTCATCGGTAAGTAACTGCACTCCTTTCCGACTTGGTTGACCTATAAGTCACAGTTTCTCATTAAGACATTGGGAGGCTGATCTCGAAGCAAGTTAATAACGAGTTGCAAGCAGCAAATAAGTTGGTAGTAGTTTTCATCAGCAATTCCTGACTCTGTCGAGATTTCTATTTCGTGACAACCATTCTTTTTACATGCAATTGTATATGAGTGGATAGACTGATATTCCATCAGCAGTCTCTGTTCAGCCCAAAGTGATCGAGAAATACTGGTAGGAGTCATAAAACGCTTACAGTTCACTGACCACTGCTTCAAATTTTGTATCTCTATGCACAGACTCGCCTGTTCGAAAAGAGTTTTGATCACAACGCAAATTTGTGAAAACACACGAAGTTAACTGGCCCTCTGTAGTTGTAATAAGAATCGTATAATGAGTTTTACAGGGGTAGTAATAATAAAAGACGTTGTATCACCATGAGTTTAATCCAATACACAAATCTGATATGGAATCACATTCCACAACAGTGTCCAAGTTTTACACTTATGTGTAATCATTTTCTTACTACAACAAGGCTATCTCCTTACCTGGAGAATTTTGTAGTTTCTAATCACCTCTTTTCTGTTCAACATGATTACCAGTTCACTGTGTACATGAGGGATGAGATTGCAATCCATTATTGATTGAAGACCCAACAGATATAATGATTTTAATCATTTAGAAACTTTGCGACAATAAATGTAATCAACAAACATGCATGATTTAAAACAACCTACAGTTGGTTTCCAGTTCTCGAAGATAACTAGTAGCCACAGAAGTAGTGAACATCAGAAAAGTATGACGGATATACAGGTGATCCGGTAAAGTGTATGTTGGGTAATCAGAGAATGTAGTTCCAAGCATATAGCTATTTTATACCAGTGATTTCATCTGTGTCTTGAAGGTAGGTCTATTTGGTTGGTTAGGCATCGGTTTGCATATATTCTATTTCATGTGTACATATTTTTATCGCGCTACTAACTAAACAATAACACGTAACGGAAGACAGTAAGCCTAGATATCATATACACACGTGAATATAAGCTTCCTATCCAGAATAAGTCAGTATATAAGATTTCAGATGAATGAAATTCACGACTAGGTTACCAGATACCACAATCAGGGTGCTACTGAGTACGTATCAGCGTCAAAAAACATCAACAAATTACGACATATAACCCTGTTATTTCTACATCAGGCAGATCGATCGCATTTAATTTACTTGCCTACACTTTTACCTTTAAAGTTATGCATGATTATAGTGCTAGGGAACCTCGCCTGGTTAACTAGTTCGCTAACTACTAGCCGGTCCTAAGCCCTGGAACCCAAGGGACAAATAATAATAATAATAATGTAATAATAGTGCTAGAGATAAAAGTAGGTATACAAACTACCCCTGTTAGCTGGTCCATATAAGATGAATAGAATTCTAGCCTGGTGTTTGTGAGGGAAGGAGTGTAGAATCCTCATCAAATTCTTTGAAGCTGGCCAGCAATTATATGGCATGGGTATGCCGCAAAAGCATGATGACTGGTGGACAGTTATTGGCGTTGAAGATAGTGACATAAATCCCGAGGTACCACTGCGTAATAAAAATTGCATTACGAATATAATGAAACTTTACTTCAAAAAATAAGTAGTATATCCAACTAAAAAGGGTGTAAATCTACCTGTTTAGATTAAATGTCTAGTAGTGATTGGTTGAAATCAATACAGAAGAATACAATCAACCAAGAATCAGTGACAACATGGCATCTGTGGAGACTCCACGAAATTAAGTATAAACCACTTGAATTATAAAAAAATATTTCCTTTTCATCACTTCTTACACATTTTGCACATTCCTCCTGATACTTGTAAAACCGAATGTTAATCTGTACAACTTATAAGCTGGAATTTTGGATGTGGCTGTATTATCATTTAACTTCTGCTTTTAAACGTCGGTATACAGTGCGCTTCTATCCACTCCGACTTCTTCCTCCGTTGACTACTGTGTGACGTGAAACTAATTGGTTTTCCATAGATTTTACAGGACCTCTCGCCCTACCTCAAAATATCACGACAATCAAGCCGAACAACGTTGACTCTCGAGCGCTGAGGATTATTGCCTTCTGAACTAACAATGGAGTGTACTAAATTGTAGTGAACAGTACCAAAAAGACAATATTCAAGTAACCCATTATTATCCATAACACTGATATTACTACTTTTTTATTATAACACATAACTTATCATATTTGTGTATCACTGAGTCTATTTTTGTTACTTTTACGTAGCTTAACACCTTGGTTTACTTGACATTCCTTTGAGTTCACTACACGTCTTCTGGTGTGTCAGTCCAGTGAACATTTCAGTTCACAAAGTGTCTCGGGATACTGTCACTGAGGTAAAAATAACATAGCAGTTCCTTCTGCAGCAATAAAAATGTCTCCATTTCATTGGGTTTTAAGGAACAAATTTAACCAGTTAAACGATGAAAAACAAAGTAATACAGCTATCTTCAAAATATTTTCAACACAGAATACGTTTTGGATAATCTTGATTAAAGTTACTCCAACTTGTTCACTGTCTCAGCAGACTTAACTGCCCCTGAATAAACATGAATATTACAGCACATCGTTGAGGAAAACAGTAAAAAGACAATCACAATACCAAATCTAATCGGTAAGACCTACTAACATTAGAACAGTCGGAAACCGTATTTTGTGCGGTAGCAGCCCGGTAACGCCATTCTCACTTTTAATTCGTAGCAAATTTGAAAATCGTATACAATATGTCAGTCATCGTCTCTTTCATACCACCTTATTCAATGTTAGATTTTGTACTCTTCCATATGTCAAACTTCTCGGAAGCTTACTCCTCCCAAACACACAAAGCTTTTCTACAGTTATTACAAGTCTGTGAAGGCTTGTAATCAATAATAGTTTGAGAGCAGAATACGCTTAACTTTGAACCAATAGATATCGGGGTTGTATAGAGTGTAGATGCATAATGTTCTTAGAAAATGACTGCAATAAGGTGAGTACTTTCACTCCCATACAAGTTTATTTCTACTGCTGTTTATTCTTGTAAGTTACGAAACACTGGATGTTGTATCCGCATATGGATATTAAGAAGATTCTGTCTTCATTTCTTTCAATATCAGGTGAAACGTTGAAATTATACAACTACAACAAAATGAATTTAGAGATTTCAAGCATATGAACTTGCACGTATAATTCAAACGGATGTAGCAGAAACATTAATGTTAAACATATCTCGAAACTATTAAACTAACTGAAGTAATTCAGCAGATTCTGTGACACCGACTGAAAGACTATAATCACCGGTGTTAGACGGAGAGAGTGGGGAGAGAGGTTCATCTTCAGATTGTTTTTCGAGCCACATGAAATGATCAGTCGTTCCATCAAAAAGTGAATTTATAACCTCGGGATAAATTCCATTTTCTTGGGTATTTTGCTGCGAATCAAACCGAGAAGTTACGGAGTTGGTACCTGATACCGAATGATGGTTTTCTTGAGGAACAGGTGTAGTCGATGAAAGCACTGCGTTTGGTGACTGCTTTTCTTGTGGTAAGGAGTAGGGGTCCAAGAATATCATCCTCAAAAAAAAGCGGACAGTCAGTTCAGACTGAGGATCTGTGTCTAAAAGAGCGAAGATTACTGAAATAAGTGTTCATCAAATTCTCCAAATGAAAATAGGTGAGATTTAAAATAAGTTACGCTGGCCATTGAAACCATGAATTCTGCTGAATATCGTAAGAGTTGAGAAACAGTTTCCCACGGGTGCTGATATCATATGTAAATACAAGACTGGGTAAGAAAAACGGTGAAATGGGTATGAGTGTCCTCGTAATTTTAGCGATCATTTGGTCTGAATTAACACTGAGAACTGTTTAATCTCAGGCTAGAATTCAAGCACTTAGATATCGGCCCTATAGTGAATGACCCCAAAGAGCAAAAAGTAAAAGCTAAGACAGGCAGAAAGGCACTTAAGTGGTACTTGTGGAATTTGAGGCAAATGAAATGATAGTGATGATACCCTACTACAATTTCTCATAAGCAAACACCCATTTCCTACTATTCTGAAGTCTAGGTACAAGGAGAGGCGCTATCTGACGTAGCAACTATCCATTTCAATTCAGCGGTGGATATAAGCATACCACACCACAACCAATTATCCACGAAGAAGGCTGGAGAAAGACTATCACTTCTTCTGGATAACATCCTCAGCTGTAACCGCCAGTTGGTCCAATAACATATGTGTCACCCAAATGTACTAGGAAAGAATATGACTTGAAGACTATTCCGAGCTTAGTTTGAAAATGTGGATGCTGAGACTGAGTTTAAAGAGGGACTGGTTAGACAGTTTTCGTGAGACAGTAATGTTACTCTTTCAGAAAAAGCTTGACACAATCTCCAATCAGCGGCAGAAAACATAAGTGACCATCCGAGTGGTGTTAGAAGCGGTAAGTGTACTTAAGCGACTTAATCGAGACCACAAAGTGAACACGAATTATGTCCTGCAGGCTTTGGGCAAAATGAAAAGTAGAACCAACTTAAATGTCCACTGAAAAAAGACCTAGGCAATGAAATTTCGTAGTGGTGGGTAGTTCTACGCCATTTTCAGCCGATCTCTCTAATCTCTTGTCTACTCGTTTTAGAGCAGTCTACGACCTTACTTTCATTACTTGCTTTCTACGTCATTCTGATGCCAGGTATAGCAGACTGAACAGCTACGCTTTCAGGTTACATTCCATGTCCATATTGGCTATCTAACTACGATGTTCGGCACAGTAGAAATTCACCTATAAAGCTAAGGGACCATCAAGACCTCTAAAATATATCACCAGATCGCCGAACACATATAGACTCTAAATTCTGTACAACAACATTCGTTGTGGCCTAAAAAATGAAATAACCATTTGATCATCATAACCGAAATTCTTCAGTTAGGGGAAAACGTCCTATAAAGTAAAATTCTGTATCGTGAGATCCTTATCAGCCTAAAGGATCAGGTCAACGCTGAAGTATATTTTCAATTTTTCCAAAGAATACTTAACGATGTTGATAATCGTATCTGCCTCTTCTGATTCGCTATCCACATTTTCTACTTATTTAATTCACTGTAATTCTGAAAACAGCTTTACGAGCCCATAACAAGTGTCATGCTCTGCTTGAGTAGAAGTAAAGTGAATCTATATAAGTGTACTTGAGTTTTCCAATCAATAATATCCAGTGTACCTAGTTGTGTCCAATGATTTCAGTAAATAGTGTCAGTCTCAACTATTACATTGACTACAGTAAGGACTTCACAGCCTTAGTCAGTTGATTGCTATCTAATGACAGAAACGTGAACACATCAGTTAACTAGTCAATGAAGACGGAATACATGGAAGATTCTAAATTGCAGCCAGAAACTGAAGACATTTGACTTCCCATGCATGCAATCATTAACCTTTAATGATTTGCTTGAGTTTATCTTGTAAACCTTGTTGTGCCACACTTAACCAGTAACATGCATATCATTTTCGAAAGGTCAAGAATGGATGAACAAGTAAATAGCTACCTGGCCTCTGACTGATGATGCACGAAAGGCGAAACCAGAAGTTTTCACTGAAGCATACGTGCACCAGTTTGTTGAAAACTTGCTGAGTGTCATGCTCAGGCCAGCCATCTGTGAATTCTTTTAAAAAGATACCGTACAAATCCATAGCTTGACACCAGGTAGATCCCGCACTGCAGACGTTAAGGTTATGGTCTTGCCTCTGAGAATTCAGGCTATTACTTGGAGATTGATTTGAGTTAGGCATGTGCTAAAAGAGATTAAGTTCAACAGCAGTAAGGTTTCGAAAAACGGACAGGTTTTGCAGTTAAAAGTTTTGTGGTCTTGAAACAGAACTTTAGCGTTTGGATGAAAATACAATGTAAACTGCTCATTATGCACGCATTTACTTTAGAAATGTCTTTCCCTTCAAAAGTCGCAGAAAATTCAACTAATTTATCTGGTCGTACTGCTTCCAAGATGCAGTTTAGTGGAACTTAGTTCTCGCTACATAGCTTATGAAGATATATAAATTGAACCATCACAAGAAGTAAAGTAGCATAAAATTTTTAATGCTTCTTGTGAGAAACCCAATATTCACTGCACAATGAAGCTAGCTGGCATTTAGGTATGTATTGCTTGGTTCCGGCAAGTGGCTCACTTTGTGACATAGAAATTTTGACCTTTTCATCTGCAGAGTAGAATGATACGGCGAAGCGTTAAAAAGGAACCGAGTGATATGGACTAGTGTTGCGAAATCTCATCAAGTGCTACTTTAAAATGTCACAGAGACAGGAATTTTGGCAACGAGATGACACACTGAAATGGAACATGGAATAAACAAAAAGGGAAATAAGAAAAGACTTGGTGCGTAATAAAAGTCTGGCTCCTACATACCAATACCGTTGACATTTAACCGTGCTATTTAGAATGTCTGAAGATTTTGTTCTACCTTTCTGTGAACCCTGACCGCCAACCTCACAACCTCTCAGACAACTACAAAAAGACAGACTAACAAATACATATAAGACCTACTATCTCTGCATTAAAAGATAGATCCTCAAAAGCTCTTGAAAGAATTAGACAAATAAACAACATGAATACTGATGAGACTATATTCAGAAACATCAACTTCTAGTAAACGGGAAAGTGTACTGACACATGGCTTTTAATATAGTGGTCTTTCGCCATAACTCGGAGAGAATCATTACATTTCATCTGACACGCTGAAAATAATCAAAATAATGGTTACCATAGTCTATTATTTTTTCATCTTCATGTTGGTGATGATACCATAAAAGCTACTTTAAACGGCAGTACAAGCTCCTAGTGGCTCAAAGGTGGCAGGATATAAGGATTGTAATTACATGGTCTCTCTAGCTTTGTCAATGTTGTTACTTAACGTAAGAAAGGAATCCTTTGAGATAGCACACACACACACACACACTACACAACCTAGATAACTAGATCCAAAGAAATAACCGACAAGGTTGGATGATGTGATGGGAGACTTCTGAGAGGTTTAAAGCTTAGCAGGATGAACAAAATATGCAAAAGTGCGTAATTCGGCTTTCAAGATGATTCAAGCCAATTCTGTTGCCTTTCGTTTCAGGAAAAGGATCACGTCTTGAGTTTCCGGTTGATAAATTAAGATTCAACCTAGTCTTGACCCCACAAGGACGGCCTTGAAATAATGTAAATTTTACCCTAGCTATCACACTATACGCCTGTTTCTGGGGTGATATATTTATCATTCATAATGGTGATACTACCCCCTGGCGCTTCTGATGGTCAACAAACAAGATTAATTCGATCATAAGTACATGACTAGCAAACTGTTGCATAAAGTTTGGTAAAGATATGGTTCATAAATCTTTACTCCACTGCAGTTAGTTTCACCTTCTAGATAATACAGCAGTAAAGCAGCCTCACAGCTGAGGCAAAAGCATGATGATTTGCCCAGAGGAGGAGCGCATCATAAACGAACTGGGTTGCAGGTGGCCCATTTGATATAAATTCTTCTTGTGAGTCTTCGACAGAGTTTCAGTAAAGAGGACTAATTGTAACGTTTCTATCTGGATTGTAAGCTGTCAATGTGGGATGGCTAAACTGACAAATATGTCCACTCGAACCAGAGCTGATTTTCTCATAAACTTATCACCAGACCAACATATGCACAAAGAAGACATAATCAGTGAATAGAAACGCCGCTTAATATATGGTGCAAGTAATTCTGTAAACTGTTGGGATGCAGCGGAACAAAACCGGATCTTGGTGCTGAATTTGTAACGGCAAAGCTAGATGTAGGGTGAACAACAAAGGAAGCTGCACCATTTCATATATACTGAAAGTGAGGGTAAAAGTAAGTGTAAACGAAAGTATTCAAATGAAATGATTGACACATATGTAAATTATTTTCGCCCGACATACACTCATACACATATGTGTCACAGTACTAGAGGCAAAATTAAATAGAAGCTGCGCTACGTAGATTTACTCGGTGACACTATGGGAATAAAGTAAAAACAAGATAGTATTAATTTAGTAAGTGATTAACTTACACGTCGTAGGTGGAACTCCAGGAATTGGATTTTGCGGCGCAGAGAGAAATGTTGACAAGTTCTACGGAAAAGACCTCCTACTAACGTCATACGATATGCTTTACTCACCAGAAAACTTGTAAAAATCAGCAAACCGTCTAAGACTATCTGGAGGATGATTGTGCGGGTTATAAAACTGTGAAAACTGTGGGCAACAACTGCTTGCACAGTATGCTCCTACCATCATCCGTAATCCTTTTGAAGTATCCCACATATTTATCAGGTCAGTGACTACGACAGGATAAAAATTGTATAACAAAGTACTTTCAACTAGAGATAATATCCGATATTTTAAAATGAGTGGCAAAGTCAAAAATTTAAGCCCATTGAAAGCTGTGTGAGGATCTGAACGATGCCGCTTTATCACTTCCTGTGGGACGACAGGCAACTGAGAGTTCGAACTCCTACGCCTTCTCATTTACCCAGCGGAAACAGATTACCAGCTTGTGCACTGCTTTCTGAAAGCTATTAAAACAAAACAGTGTAAAGGAAAAGCTACTTTCAGTCCAATGTGTCATATTTCTTATCACAGACTGCAACAAACTATCTTACAATTTATGATGGCTTCTCAACATAGTTTCGTACCTTCAGTGGACTTTCATCCAGTCGGTCGAGCCACATCGCTGCTGTTACAGTGCTAAATATAGTGCCCGGTCAGGTGTTTATTTTACCTGAACAGAAACATATACTTCACTGTAGGAGTAACCGGCTGCAAATGTAACTTGAAATTATGCGTTCAGACAGTCGCGCACAATGTTCCAAAGGAATGGTTCAAATGGTTGTTGACGGAATAGAAGGTTTCGCTTAACTGGATTCCTCATCTAGAATCCATGGATCCACATGCACCTCAAAAATAAATTACTGCATAGTGCCTATAAGTGATATGCTCACGACTGGATACCACGAAGTTCTATTAGGAAGCCGTGACCTATTGGGCCAACCGGACGGCAGGGGAGCGGATACCAACTGAAGACCTTGGGTGGTAGTCACAATTATCGTGAATTGACGGAAGTTGGAAACTGTAAATCACTGAAATCCAGCCCAGTGGCTGAATGGCTAACGCACTCGGCATGAGACTTAGGGGTCCTGGGATCCATCCCTAGCCAGTTCGTTGGTGTGTACCGCTGAAGAGCTCCATACTATTACGAAACAGCTGTCTGACCCACCTAGGTCTTCAACGGTCCCCCAAATGATGTCGGTCCGTGGTGAATACTACCTCTAAATTAAAATCCTCATTCGTCTCAAAAATACTGTTATAATATTATTGGAATAACCCATTGCACGACATTTGAGGGCCTGAGGAGCTACCTGAGGGTCCAATCCTGGGAGCGGAATTAAAGCAAAACGGATCCAATTACTTGCCTCAGCGCAATGTACAACTTACTACAGCATATGTAGGCAACCAGTTACTAGTGAAATTCAACCACCACAAAAGACAGAAAGTTCCGCCGGTGAAAGCGAATAACTGAACAAAGCAAACGGTTTGGACTAATGATGATTAAAAATAACGATTATTTTAGTATGAATGACGACGAGCCTCCATGATTGCATGCATTTTATGTGAGGGATTGCTGCATTATTACTTTCCACCGATTTATTCATGTGAAGGATACTCTTAAAGTTATTCAGATACTTATTCTACCGGTGATAGACTTCTTCCTCTTTCTTATATGCGCACATAATCCCATGGGTCAATTAGGTAGCCTTGAGTGGATGCACTTAATCTTCTATCAACTCCTCCCTTCTACCGCGATTCACTGAGAAACGGTGATTTCTTCAATGCTGATGAAAAGTTGAGTGGCAAAACTTTAAACCAACATATGATGGTCCTGTAAGATGAGGACTTCATCAAGGATGGTTTCGTATGGGTTCAAGTGGTTTATATAATCATTGAAAGAGTGGAAGAAGATTTCATCTGACTGGATTCCGCATCCAGAATCCATGGATAACTAGTTTGTGTCGTTGCTGTCCCGTGTACAACCAAAGAGAGAGTGAACATCGGTGGTCAAAACTGGAAAAGCCTGCTGGTTCTGAGCAGATTCCACCCACATCTTGAGTATGTAGCGAATGAAGTAGCTTGGATCACGTCTACTTGAGGCACGTTTCAGGGTTTAACAACTTTTAGGAAGCAGAAGTTGTGGCTGATATCTGGCCTAATATTTCACAGGCTTGGTTTTTATGTCTGTCCTCCGAGATGATCATTCTGAACTCCAGGCTGGTCCGTATGAAGTTGTCGAAAATTTAGAGGGGAGATGTGTCTTAGAATTCATCTAAGCGTCACTGAGGCCACGTTTCACCGAAATGCATTTCTGCCACTTTCTCAGAGGATGTGAAATCCTGAGGGACTATAAAGCTTGAATCTTTCTCCCTCAGCGAAGCTTCAAGTTCCATGCCGTTGCAGCTTTATGCATGACATGAATCGTATTTTTACGTGTATCACCTTGCATTTTCCAAGACTAGATGCGCGCCCGTTATTGACTTCCAGCTTTAAAGTTCAGTTAAATCTCCCTGTATAGGAACACTTTCTTCTTAGATTTTGACCTCTCCCCATGGCTTCACATCATCGGCAAAAAGAATGACTTAGGGAGAAACATGTTGAGGCAAGCCATTTATACATATCAGAAAAAGCAGGGGCCCCAGTACTTAATCTGGGGGAACATCATTCGGACATTCATTTCCTTCAGATATAAGAAAACATACTCGGTTTCTTGGCGAAGTACCTCATGGATACAAAGCGACTAGTCCATGATAGGTCATCTTATGCGAATACTTTTGACTTGTCGGTAAGGCGGTCGCGATCAACACAGTTAAAAGCCTTGATAAAGCCTGGATAAACGACATTAGTTTGACCTCAACAGTCGACAGTACCCGTCCATATATCTGCTGCACTTAGCAGATCAGTAGTGCGAAGTACTAATTTGTGAACCCATGTTGTTAGGGCTGCAGCGTCAAACACTTCCCCAGAATCAATAGCCTAGGGTTCGGCGAGATTCAACGTTGATGCTGACCTTCATAGTTTGACTGGACTCGCTAAACCGAAGGCACCCGGTCAAGCACCCTCGCAATTTGGCATGCAGTCGTGTTACGTTTCACTGCTCGTGATCGATCCTCCAGTCGGGCAGTTTGGTATCGGTATCTTGGCACGATCTCGCAAACATACTATTCCATCCGACTACGCTATTGTGTTCTTTATTGGTCTCGTATTTGTGGGCACATGAGAAGTAAGAATAATTGGCGATTGGCCACTGCGTCTGCCAGGTGCGCTCCAGGACATTTCCTAAATTGGTGAGCCCGACACGATAACAATCAAGAACGACCAAGAATATATCTTATATCGATGAACCGTTCTACTTATTCACCTGTATATTGTCTTCATCTTGATAATCTTTATACATCCATATACTTCTTCCCACGTCCGACCATACTCCTAAACTTATCCTTATTAAGTCGACGACGAATACCATCCAACTCGTGCCATACTGGCCGGACAATGCCGAAACATGTTTTCGTATGCAGAGGGAGATTTTCGAGAACAAGGAGTCGCAGATCCTCATTCTAGACTTCTTGCTGTCATACGTTCACTGCCGCGGTAATTAAACAGTCATGATACGGCTCGTATGTTTTGTTCTGAAGTGGTCCCTATGCACTTCTCAAAGCTGCACTACTGAGGAAAGGTGAGCTCACAGATAGCCAGCGCCTAGACGAATTGCTTCGCGATATCGAGCTAGGTAGCAACTCAGCCACTGGGGTCCTCTCACGCTTGCGAGAAGTTATGGGCACACGAACGCTCGATAATGATCTTTTCCGAGAACCGTTTCTCTCGTAACCACCACAACCGATGCAAACCGTGTCAGTGACACCTCAGTGGCTTTACTTGAAGATCTAGCAGACCGGTCACCAACGTATATTCGGTCTGTGAAAAACCTGAGACCCACGATTTAGAAGCAAACAAGCCGTGCAGCTCAGTTTAACAGCTGCTACGAACTCGAAACCCTACGTTACGTAGCACATCCGAGAAACACGTGCCAGCCCATCACAGCAACTAGCATTCGCGGCAACAGTAACTGGCGGAGAAAGCCATTTGCTTTACGTCACAGATATAAAAACGAAAGTTCCCTACCTCGTGGAAACCGGCACAGAAGTTAGCCTCCTTCACGCACCCACAAAGGGGCGCCATAATGGCCCATCCTTCAATCTCCAAGCAGCTGACGTCAAGGTGATTGCGACATTTGGGAGAAGGTAAGCTTACTTCACCTTAGGTCTACGTAAACCTGTTTACTGGATCTTTCTCCTAGCCGACGTCTCTGTGCTCATCGTTGGCATGAATTCGCTGGACCATTATGATCTACTCATAGATGCTTGTCATCAGCGCCTGGCGGATGGTAACACAAAGTTATCTATTGGCAGGACCGCCTACCTAGGTCCGAGTTTTGCCATCGACAGAACCAAACAATCAGGCGACGCTTCCTATCAGGAAGTGTTGAAAAATATCAATTATTACAACAGCCGAAGCACACCCTTCCGTGCATAACCAGCAGTGTTAAGCACCACATGATAGCCACAGGTCCATCTGTGGCATTCAAAGTACGCCATGTGGCCCCTGATGAGCTCAAAACAGTGAAAAGCCAGTTCGATCACGTGCTCGACTTAGGTGTTATCAATACGTCAAACAGTCCTTGAGCATCACCGATTAATATGGGTTACAAAAATGGTAGCTGACATGTTGAAACTTCTTACAATGTGCCTGGTAATGCTCAGTGACAGCAACCACTGGCACAACGAACACACTACCAGGTCGAACGCCAGGTTCTCGGAGTATATAAAGACATATCCAGTCGAGTACTTTGACTTGAAATTTGACATTCATTCTTAAATTCAAAGTTTTTCGACCCGCCATTTTTTATGCAACCTCGCCTGGTTATCTGGCTTATTAGTTACTGGCCGGTCCTAAGCTCAGATAAAGAGGGAAGGCTGGGCATACGGCCAGCAACCCTACCCCGGAAAACCAACGCAACCGCTAAAGATACTTCAGAGCACAAGGTAAATATAAAACACAAAAACAAACTTAATCCTCGCTGGAGTCGTAGAGGCGAAATGACGCCAGTTGGTGGAAGCCTTCAGAAAGCAAATTGGCCGATGTGTCCTCGCTTTTCTCAATGAAAGCGAAAGTGGTAATGGGAACATGGAATGTCCGCAAAATGTTTCAAGCTGACTGGCAACGCTGCCAGATTCCAAAAGAGATGAGAAGGTATGGCACAAAAGTGCCTGAAATCTGTGAGGAATCTGCAGGTGGAATGGAAGTGGACTCTCCAAACTGTCAACTGGAGAGTCAATAATCTACTCCGATATTCACACCCACACGACAACCACGACCACACTGAGTTTTCGAGTGGCTATCATGATGTCCCCTTGAAGAGCATCAAAGGCTCTCTCCCATACAGTGGCAACCAA